AATTGTACTTTTATTGATATAACAAAGTTAGGTACAACCCAATGTAGCAATGCTGTTATTTGAACCAATTTGTAAATAATAAATATCCAGATCCGAAGTAGTTATTTTAATATTAAAAAAAAATTTTATTAAATATATTTTCAAGAATATATTTTATTAAAAATATATACTCTATATTATTGTTTTATTTAAAAAATACTAAATATAATTTAATTTTCCAGACAAATTTGTCTAAAATATAGTTTAAAAAATAATAGATTAAAACAAAATCAAAATAAAATTTTTTTTTATAAAATAAACAATTTATCAAAAATTACAAAATTTTAAAATACACTTTTTTTAACCTTTTGTTTCAAGTTAAAGATCACTTTAAAAGTAAAATTTATAGTAAACAAGTATAAATTTTTAAAAGATTAAATAAAACCCCCAAATTTTATTTTAAATCGATTTTATTATGATTTAATAGAATTTATTATTGGGTTTAGCTAAATTATCCATTGCAATTATTAGTAGATTAATTATAAATTTTCATTTTCAATAATTCTATATAAATCAACCTCGACTTTCATCACTGCTTGTTGCACATCATGCATTGTGGCATTAACCATCTTTGATGCAAAAACTAATATTCTTTCATAATCTTCGTGAAAACTGCCAGTTAGCTCAACGTTTTTAAAGAAAGCAGACTCTGAGCGATTTTGAAAAATTTGATATGCGGTATATTTTTCTCCAAATGTAAGATTTGGTTGATCACTATTATTATTCTCAATATTCTTATATAGAAATGTCGAATATCTGTTGCGTAAATTGCTCAAAGGATCTTCTGAAAATAAAGATTCTGAATCTGTTTGTTTGTCCGGAACTTCAACGCAAAAATTCAAATCTTGAATTTCCTTTTCAATAGGTTCAATAAAATCATTGACACTATTTTTGAAATTTTTGATAATATTTTTGTCAAGTTCTTTCTTCCTTTGCATCTTATAAAACTCCTGTACTGTAAGGGTCCATGGAATAGATCCTAATTGGTTTCCAGTCGTATCTAGAAAATTTTGTAATTTTTCTTTGCGCACTTGTTCTTCAATTACTGGTACGACAGTTTCCGAAAGCTCGCGAAATGGCTTAGATACTTGCTCCATTTCTTAATGTTTATTAAATTGTGTAGTTGTTTATTAAATTTTGTAAGTTATTGAAAATCCATCCTAATAACAGGATAAAAAATCAATGTTATAAAAAAAATCCAATTACCTTCAATTCGTTTCTCTCGATTGATGTGTGCAGAATTCTGTGTATCTTTAGGTTTTTGTGGCCATCGTTTTCTTCCAACCAATGTATCAGAACAATGTTTTATATATTTATCCGGATTGCTATCAATCCATTCTTTCAAATCACTTTTAATAAATATTTAAGTAGGGCAAGTTAGCTTAACGTCCATAATAAGGAATGAAATTATTTACCCAGGAAATCATAGTGCAAACCTCAAATCTAAAGGAATTTCTTTTGAAAAAAGTTTTTCTTGTCTTTCGCTCAATTTTTTTATCCAATCTTCAAAATTAGGAAAGTACAGAAAAAACTCATCACTATCATTCGGTACCCTGTATACAAATAAATTTCGACGAATGAAGTGGCAAATTTTGAAATTTCATTAAAAGCAAAGAAATCTCAGTTATCGTAATACCTTCTCTTCCCATCCAATCCATATATCATTTTTATTACCACGATTATTACAGCTAACAATGAAAGAGAAGGATTTCGATTTATCTCAAGATTTAAATTGATCAATTGCGCCAACTCCTTGGAGATAACATATGTTTCAACTATATACAATACTAAAAGTTAGAGTGTTATTTTAGTATTTGAATATTTAATATAAATAATTACCTGGTAGCATAAAATCTCTGATGAATCGATAAAGTATAGGTGGTGCATTAATCTCAGGAAAAGTTATTCCGTAAAAATTTTTATAGAATGCGATAAAATCGAATTCTAAGGAAGTTAAGAAATGCCATGATTGATGTCGCTATAAAAAATATAAGCGACAATGTTTATTAAGGATGATTTTTTGTAAATTCTAAAAATTTCGATAACAACCTCTTTTTCAAAGAATTTCTTAACAAAATGAGGACCCAGATGTAATTTCATATCATTAGGTAATTCTTGACGAACTACTAGATCTGATAAACGACCAGTAGAAGCCCAACTAAAAAGAATATTAGTTT